TCCCGAACCCAGGAGATGCGTACACGCCCTCTTGGCCATGCCAGGAGGGCGTGGCGTGCACCGCTGCTTGGTTCAGGACGCGCCTGGCCAGATAGCAGTGGCTATGTACCGATGTCGTCGCCCTAGAAGGTGCAAACCAACATGCGACCCTCGCCGCCCTGCCCAGTATCACCCGTTGGTTCTTCATGTCGGTGGAAGCTGTTCGGCGCTCTCGGGCCTCCGGCGCACCCCATGCATCCCAAACACCGCCGGAAAACGTTTCGGACCAAGAGCTTGTCCTGTGCATTGTGCTTGGCATCTTGCTGGTCCTAGGCATTCGGCTGTCAAGAACCGTGTAAGAACGGTTTTTTGAAGGCAGATCTGCCTTCAAAAGAACGGTTTTTTGAAGGCAGATCTGCCTTCAAAAAATCGTTCTTACAGAGTAGACCAGTCTTTCCTGCTGTCCTAGGCATTTTGCTGATCCTAGGCATTCTGCTGTTTGTTGTGCATTCGGTGGAGAGATCAGGGGGGCAGGCGGAAGGCTTGGTTAGAGGGTTGGCTCGGGGGGGGCCGGCCAGGGTAGTGTTTCTTGACAGACGGATCTCCCACATGCATGCAGTAGTATGGATCACCCGATGCATGTACCGACGCGGTTGTGTTCGGGATGTTCGTCGAAGGCGGATACGCATTCGATTGTCCATGCTCAAACAGTTTGGTTCCTCTAGTCAGGATGCTGGCTGCCATTGCTTCGCACTCAGTCCCGATTCCGCATCTCCCCCTCTGCTTTTAACTATCCTTCCCCTCTGCTTTTAACTATCCTTCCTCCCTTCCCCCCGCTCCAGGGCAATAATTTAAACACATTGCACGATTGATTGCAGGCGCGTGCTTCGAAACGTTGGATCTTCTTCTCGATTTGTTGTCCCTCGCAGGTCGGCTCGGACGAAAAGGGAAGCCGTGAGATGTGCTGCTTGTTGCTTGCTTCGACCAGGCCGCGGGGCCTTTCCTCGATGCACTGGCGCCTCAGGCGCCGGGAGGCGCCTGGACAAGTCAGCCACGTGCAACTGATTCAATCACCCCCTTCTGTTATCGCTCCGCTCTCTTCCTACAATAGAAGCGCTAATTTCTCCCATCCATTCGGAGGCAGACAGTCGTACAGTACAGATCCATTCACCTCGCTCTTTCCCTCCTCCCTTGTGGGCCCTGGAAACGACGGGTCTCGTCAGACCGGTTCCTTCTTGCATCTTTTTTGCAGGCTCTGGCGCTGTCATTCACCGAGTTTCGTCGTTCTTCTTTGTCACAGTTTTGGTTTGGGCTCCATTCCTGGGGCTGTTTTTTTGTGTTGTGTGTGTGTTTTCGTGAGGCGTTTTTTTATGTTTTATTTGTTTGTTAATGTTTCTGTTTTTTGTCATCGCGTTCTTTCATGTCCCAGAGGATACACTTTGCGAGAGCGCCGCCCCCCTTCTCCCACCCCCGGAAGGGGGAGGAACCATCAGCGGGGGAGGGGGGGGAAGGCGGAGGGGAAGGAAGGATGGACGGGAGGAGGGGAGGGAGGAGGGGAGGAGGGGGGAGAGGAGGGGGGAAAGGAGGGGAGGAAGGGTGGGAGGAGGGGAGGGAGGGAAGGGGGGAGGGGAAGGACTCATCGGAGGGGGAGGGAGGGGAGGGAGGCGGACCCGTGTGCGCGTCTGGCTCCCGACCGCCGGTTGCCGCCCCCGCCGCGCGAGGCTCCCGCTGCGCCACCGCGCGAGAGGGGACGCCGCCCCCGCGGCCGGGCAGGGTGCCGCTGGCGCGAGAGGACGCCGCGGGGCGCCTCGTCGTCGTTCGGGCGGGCGGCCGCCAGGGGGGCAACACGGTCGGGAGCTGCTGGGAAGCGCGCCGCGCGCCCCGCAGAGCGCAGCAGCACGCTCTCCGTTTGCAGGGCATACAGCGTGCCGCTGGGGCCGCCGTGGCGACACGCCACAAGCAAAAGCCTCCCACCGTGAGTCGGGGGGGGGGGGAACGGTCGAGGATCCCAGGGATGGGCTGCTAAACGGCCCGCGGGCTGCCACCGCGGGCCACAAGAGGTGCACGAGGGGTGTGCGACCCCTCGCCCCCCGTGTAACCACATGCCCCGGATATTATAAAGCATCCCCCCTTAACCCTCTAGCGTTGGTTATCTCAGGGGCCAGATCATGTTCAAATTCGGTGGCGGGGGGCGGGGCCGTTTTTTTTTTATTTGGGGGGAAGTTCGAATCGTAGATACGAGCATCTTAACATTGGAAACAGTGCTACCACCATCAGCATTAGCTTCAAACTTTATCCTCAGAAGCAGCATAGCGAGCGAGCAGGGCATCGTTGTATCATACATTCTCAGGCTTCGTGCCTCTCGTAAATCCCCACTGGCACACCCCTGACACGCTTCGTGGCCCCAAGACTACCGCCTCCCCCTCCTCCTGCCCCCCCCCTCCTCCTCCTCCTCCTCCTCCTCCTCATCCACTTCCTCCTGCCCCTCCCCCCTTGTTCGCCTCCTCCTCGCGCTCCTTCCTCCCTCTACCCCCCCCCTCCCCTCGCCCCGAACTTGCTTTATCGGGTGTTGATTATCCGTAAGGGCTTCGCCCCCTGCCGCCAGCCCCCTTTCTATCATAATGGGATATAACAGAGTCGCGTCGGTGCGTCTCGGGGCGCTGCCTTGGCGCATCTGGGAACAGCATGCGGGGGCGGATAGGAGTCATCAGCGCATATTGAGAACGTTGGCAATATCGAAGACGCCTACGACGAATCACCGCCGCCCCCTGCCTTTTTTGGAAGCGCCTATGTGGCCGAACGTTGAGTCCAGACCTGCCAAGCTATCGGACCATGTGTTCCCCGAATCGGTTTGGAACGCCTTCGGGGAACACGTGGGCATCTTCAAGGTCATCTTGGCCGTCTGGAGGCCATCTTGACCCTTTCGGGCCTTCTTGGAGGACGTCTTGGAGGGCTCTTGGACCGTCTTGGAGGCCATCTTGAGCGTCTTGGAGACCTCTTGGGCCGTCTTGGGGGCCTCTTGGGGCAGTGTCTTAGGCCTCTTGGGCGATCTTTGGGGGCACTTGGGCCGTCTCGGGCCGTCGGAAGGCAGAAAAAAAACAAATGCCACAATCCTTCAAAAACCAATGGGAAATCAATGATTGTGGCCTTTTCTGGCCTTCCTGGAGGCCCCGTCTTGGGCCAGCTTGGAGCCAACTTCGGCCATCTTGGTGGGTTCCCGGCACCGTCGGGAGCCGTCTTGGGGGCCTTTCTGGGCCGACTTGGGGCCCTCTTGGAGCGCTTCGGGGCCGTCTTGGCGGCCATCTTGGGCGTCTTGGAAGCCATCTTGGGCGTGTTGGAGGCCTCTTGGGCCGTCTTGGGGCCCCCTTGGGGCCGTCTTGGAGGCCACTTGGGCCGTCATGGGGCCCTCTTGGGGGCCTCTTGGGCGATCTTGGGGGCCTCTTGGGCCGTCTTGAGCCGTCGGAATGCCGAGAAGAAGCAAATTCAAACATCTTTCAAAAACATAAGGAGCATCAATGATTTTGGCCTCTTCGGGCCCTCCTAGAGGACCTCCTGGAGGACCTCTTGGAGGCCTCTTGGGCCGTCTTGGGGGCCTCTTCGGGGCCGTCTTGGGCCGTCTTGGACTTTCCTGGGCCGTCTTGGAGGCCGTCTTGGACCATCTTGGGCGGATTTGGAGGCCATCTTGGGCCATCTTCGCGATTTGTTGAGGATGTCCCGGGCGAAACGGCCGTTTCAGGCATTGACTTATGCAGTTTCCGGGTGGCCGTCGGGACGGGCCGAAGCCCCAGGGGGAGTTCTTTTGGAAAAAGAACCAAAACCAAAACCGAGAGGGTTTAACACGCCAGGCATCCCTGTGATGAATCAACAGGGGGCGGCGGATCGAAGACGCCTGCGGCGAATCACCGCCGCCCCCTGCCTTTTTGGAAGCGCCTATGTAGCCGAACATTGTGGCGGAATGCCGAGAATAGGCGAACACAACGATGTTTACCTTTTCGCGCCCTCCTGGAGGACCTCTTAGAGACATATTTGGCAGTCCTGGGGCGTCTTGGAGGATTATTTGGCGAACTTAGTTGTATCTTGGACCCTCTTGGGCCGTCTTGGATGCCATCTTGGACCATCTTTGGCGGACTTGGAGGCCATCTTGGACCATCTTTGAGGCCATCTTGAGCCGACGTGGCCATCTTGGAAGCCATCTTGAGCCGTCTTGGAGGATTGTTTTGGGAATTGACCGCCTTTGGAGCCTCCCTGGGCCTCTTGGGGGTCTTTGGGGGCTTCGTAGGGGCCCCTTTGGCCGTCTTAGGGCGTTCGTCGGAAGCTGTCTTAGGGGCCTCTCTGAACCGACTTCGGCCCCTCTTGGGGCGCCTCAGGGCCGTCTTGGAGGCCATCTTCGGCGCCTTGGAGGCCTCTTCGACCGTCTTCGGGCCGTCTTATGGCCGTCTTTGGGGCCTCTTGGGCCGTCACGGGGCCATCTTGGAGGCCTCTTGGGCGATCTTCGGGCAACCTTGGGGGCCCCTTGGGCCTTCTTGGGCCGTCGGAAGGCCGAAAATGTGCAAATGTCAAAATCCTTCAACAACCTAAGGGAAACCAATGATTTGGGCCTCTTCGGGCCTTCCTGGAGGACCTCTTGGAGGCCTCTTGGGCCGTCTTGGAGGCCTCTTCGAGGCCTCTTGGGCCGTCTTGGGTCAGCTTGAGGCCATCTAAGGCCGTCTTCGGTGCATATAGAGCCGTCTTAGTGGCATCTTGGGGCCATCTTGGCCGTCTTGGAGGCCATCTTTGCCGTCTTCTGCGAGTAGGTGGGGTCGGAGGACCGCGCAGCATCGCCGATGCATCGACGATGCGGCTCGATGTGGAGCCTGTGGTTCCCGACGTTCCACTACGCGGAACTGCCGTCACCCGAAGAACACCAGCTACGGCAGACCTGGTTCAGTGATTCTGGCCAGTTCAAAGGCCCCGGGCCCTACCGCTAACCGGGTCCCCTTACCTGGGGTCCTGGCTTTACCCGAAGGAGGCGGGCCGCCGCGCGCCTCCGCCCCGGGCGGCGCCGCGGCCGCCACGGCGGGCGCTGCGGCGGCCGCTGGCGGTGCCCCGCCGGCTGCCAGCGCGGGGTCGGGTACCAGGAGCGCCCGATCGTCGATTGCACGCGTCCTGGCGTGCCTATAGCCCTCCCAAAGAATGTTCTAAGGACCGTTTGTGGCTCCCACGAAATGTTCTTAGAGCATTTCTGGCCGGGACTGGCTTCATTTAACAAATCGGTTTATGTTCAAAGAGCATTGTTTTTGTTCTTAGAACATGTTTGGGTTCTAAGAGCAGTTCGAGGAAGGACTATAGGAATGCCGGGACGGTCGGTCCTTGCTCAAGTAAGGGTGACCCTTTCGGTGGAGCCCGAGATCCCTGCGTTGCAGTGTTTTCACCACGGGCGTTTTCGCCCCGATTCGGGCCCCGGGACCCTCGCGTATGGATCCGGCTCGGAGAATGACGCAGAAAGATTCGGTCTGGGGCCCCGGTCGTGATATTCTCAGATGTTGTCTTCCCAACCAACTTGTGTTGTTGGATCCTCGTTTTGAAGAGACGGTCCCCCCGTCTCCTCCTCCTCCCTCCTCCCCTCCTCTCATCATCATCATCATCATCATCATCATCATCATCATCATCATCATCATCATCATCATCGCAGCAGCAGCATCATCATCATCATCGTCATCATCATCGTCATCGTCATCGGCATCGTCATCGTCGTCGTCGTCATCATCATTGTCATCATCGTCCTCATCGTCCTCATCATCCCCACCCAGCAGGGCGCTTCGTGGCCCTAGAGGGAGGTCCACCGACAGCCCCAATGGCGGTGTCCACATGCTTCTCCCCACCCAGCACGGCGTTTCGTGGCCCCATAGGGAGGACCACCCTTGGTACCAGTGGCGGTGTCCACATGCGTTTCCCCCACCCAGCAGGGCGTTTCGTGGCCCCAGAGGGAGGTCCACCGAGGGCCCCACTGGCGGTGTCCACATGCGTCTCCCCCACCTAGCACGGCGCTTCGTGGCCCCATTGGGGGGTCCACCCAAGGCCCCAGTGGCGGTGTCCACATGCGTCTCCCCCACACACAGCACGGCGTTTCGTGGCCCCATAGGTCCACCGAAGGCCCCAGTGGCGGTGTCCACATGCGTTTCCCCCACCCAGCACGGCGTTTCGTGGCCCTACAGGGAGCTCCACCCAAGGCCCCAGTGGCGGTGTCCACATGCGTCTCCCCCACCCAGCACGGCGCTTCGTGGCCCCATGGGGAGGTCCACCCAGGGCCCCAGTGGCGGTGTTCACGTGCGCGTCTCCCCCACCCAGCACGGCGTTTCGTGGCCCCATATGGGGGTCCACCCAAGGCCCCAGTGGCGGTGTCCACATGAGTTCCCCCCCACCCAACAGGGCGCTTCGTGGCACCATAGGGAGGTCCACCGAGGGCCCCAGTGGCGGTGTCCACATGCGTCTCCCCCACCCAGCACGGCGTTCGTGGCCCCATAAGGGAGGTCCACCCACGGACCCAGTGGCGGTGCCCACATGCGTCTCCCTCACCTAGCACGTCGCTTCGTGGCCCCATAGGGAGGTACACCGAAGGCCACAGTGGCGGTGACCACATGCGCCCCCTCCACCTAGCACGGCGCTTCGTGGCCCCATAGGGAGGTCCACCCAAGGCCCCAGCGGCGGTGTCCACATGCGTTTCCCCCACCCAGCCAGGGTGCGTGGCCCCATCGGGAGGTCCACCGAAGGCCCCAGTGGCGGTGTTCACATGCGTCTCCCCCACCCAGCACGGCGTTTCGTGGCCCCATGGGGAGGTCCACCCAAGGCCCCAGCGGCGGTGTCCGCATGCGTCTCCCCCACCCAGCACGGCGCTTCGTGGCCCCATAGGGAGAACCCCCCGAATGCCCTAGTGGCGGTGTCCCCACCCCGCGCGGCGTTTTGTGGCCCCATTGGGAGGTCCACCGTTCGTACCAGCGGCGGTGTGCACATGCGTTTCCCCCACCCAGCACGGCGTTTCGTGGCCCCATAGGGAGGCCCACCCAAGGCCCCAGCGGCGGTGTCCGCATGCGTCTCCCCCACCCAGCACGGCGCTTCGTGGCCCCATAGGGAGAACCCCCCGAAGGCCCCAGTGGCGGTTTCCACATGCGCGCGCCTCCCCCGCCCAGCACGGCGTTTCGTGGCCACATAGGGAGGTCAACCCAAGGCCCCAGTGGCGGTGACCACATGCGTTCCCCCCACCCAGCACGGCGCTTCGTGACCCCATAGGGAGGTCCACCCAAGGCCCCAGTGGCGGTGTCCACATGCGTGTCCCCCACCCAGCACGGCGCCTCGTGGCCTCATAAAGAGCTTTACCGAAGGCTCCAGTTGCTGCGCTCGCATGCGTCCCCCCCGCCCAGTCCAACGTTACGCGGCCCCATAGGGAGCTCCACCGACCTCCCCAATGGACCCGTACACAGGCGTGTCCCCCACCCAGCACGGCGTTTCGTGGCCCCACAGGGAGGTCCACCGAGCTCCCCAATGGACCCGTACACAGGCGTCTCCCCCACCCAGCAGGGCGTTTCGTGGCCCCACAGGGAGGTCCACCGAGGGCCCCACTGGCGGTGTCCACGTGCGTTTCCCCCACCCAGGACGGCGTTTCGTGGCCCCACAGGGAAGACACCGCAGGCCCCGGCATCAAAGTCCACATGCGTTTCCTCGCAGTGCAGCGCTTCGTGGCCCCATAGGGTGCTCCACCGAAAGTCACAGTGGAACCGTCCACATGCGTTTCTTCCACCCAATACAGCCTTTCGTAGCCCCATAAGGAGCTCCACTGAAGGCTTCACTGAACCCGTCCACACGCGTCTCCACAAATCAGTACAGCGTTTTCCCCCATAGGGAGCTCCACCTAAGGCCCCAGTGGCGGTGTGCAGCGTTTCGTGGTCCATAGGGAGCTCCACCGAAAAGTATACCTACAGCTGCGGTGCTCACAACCGCATATGGTTGGGTCCTTCGCCAGGCCAATTTTTGTTCGCAACGTTGATCTCGGCGGCGAGCGAGGGGGGGAAGTCACCAGGAGGAGGCCTTCTGAGAAGGCCCAGAAGTCCCCTGGCCTTCTGAGAAGTTAGCTAAGCCTTTCCCGGAGGCACAAGAAAAACGTTTTCCGGATGGCGCTAGGGCTTCTGAGAAGTCCCGCGGCCTTCTGAGAAGGCCTTCTCCTTCTGACTTCCTCCCCTCGCTCGCCGCGGATAGCAAGTGCCCATGGCCAAGGTTGCCAGCGCCAGGGCGGGCACCAGGAGCGCCCGATGGTTTGCCGATCGGGGCGATCGACATGGGTACGCTAGGGATGGGTACGATGTCCAACTGCAGTTCCTGCTCATCTTGAAAAGGACTCGCTGTCCGTGCCGCCGCGGACGTTGCTCGCCGAAGACAAGTAGCCGCCTGCTCGACAGCGCCCTCTGTCGATTTTGCGCGACACGTGCTGTGGGGCATTGTAGCATTGAGTCGGGCCTGTCCATCTACAGGAGGAATATTCAAAAACCGTTGAAAAAAACAGTCTGTATATATTGACCATTTTGGGGTATTTTCATTGTTCGTCGAGAACCCCCTGTAGGGGGACACGCCCGACTTTATTGTAGCATTTTTCCGTAGCCATCTTTCCCATACGGGGGTTCTCAAAATAGTGCCCTTGTCGACTACACGTAAGAGTGACCCTTCGCTGGAGCGACCTCTTCGTATGGGGCACACCGGGGCCCCTTCATGGCTGAATCCGATGCGATAGCAGCGGCGTGCGCGCTCGGGTTCGGCCTGCCAGCGCCGGGGCGGGCACCAGGATCTAGACCTCCCAGATGCATCTGCGATGCTGCTCGATGTGGAGCCCGTGTTTCCCCACGCCGACGTCGCCGATGCATCGCCGACGTCGCAGATACATCGCCGATGCATCGCCGATGTATTGGCGATGCGGCGCGATCTTCCGACCCCATCCACTCTGACCCAATATTGGAGGCCTCTACTGGAGCGCCCTATCGTTTGTCGAGGGTTGCTAAACAGGGCCCCTGGCCCAAGACGCCTCCAGTGTGTCGCTCACTTCTGGAGCCCAGGGGCCCTCTGGGCCTCGCGGGGGGTGCTCTCGAGGCCGCGGTGGCCTCCCTGGAAACCCTGGGGGGCACCTTGGTCCAGGGGCACGTCTGGCAGCTCCCGAGATTGGACGCCCGAAATGGCTACGGAACAAATGGGTACGATGCCCGACAGCAAGTGTTGTCCAAAACCGACAGCGGCTGTTGGACGGGCGGCGTCTGTCTCCAATGAGCAACGTCCGCGGCGACACCGACAGCGAGTCCAGGTCAAAGTGGACAGCAACTGCTGTCGGTCTGCTGTCGGTCCTGAGGGAAACGGGCCCTGAGGCATTTCTTCGTCTTCGGGCTTTCGGGGTCCTCGGCGGGCCCTGGAACGACTCGGGAGGAAGAGCTCGTCCTGGGGCGGGGGCACCAGGGTCCAGGACCCGTTTCTCTGAGGAACCGTTGTCCCCATGGTAAAGGAGCGCCCGATCGGGCATCCCGGGGCCGTTCGCAGTCTCGTTATCGAAGGTACCACATTTGGGGTATCGCGGCTGCCGCCGAGTGAGTGAGACACTTCGACTCAAGCGCAAGCCGGACCTAGGGAGGACAAAGTTTGAAGGCATTTGGCCGTGGTTCTTGTTTCAACAGAGAAGAGGCAGGCACGCTCGATGGGGCGGTGCGTTCTGGGGGCGCGATAGATTCGAAGATGAAAAGATGGCATGAACATAAACTATCCGAGTTCCTCGCGCAATTTTAGGATTTGCGCTGGAACCCCATGGCGGCGCCTCCACTGCCGCCCCTGGAGCACTCAACGCGCCAGGGAGGGGAATCCAGCGCCGATCCAATAAATTCGCGCGGATCTCCGAAAGTTTGTGTTGATGCACTTTTCTCGGCTTTGACATAAGCCAGCGTGGACACCTAACAGTGTGTTTCTAGGTATGTAGTACAATTCATCTGGAGCAATCGATGTTTTGCGACCCGTGCTTTGCAGCCTATGGGGTTCAATCCATGCGGTGCCATCTATGTGGTGCGACCTATGCTGTGCAACATACGTTGAGCAGTCTATGGTGTGTGATCTATGCTGTGCAATCGATTCGTTGCCATCTGCGTTGTGCAACACATGTCGTGCGATCTACGTTGTGTAATGTATCCAATGGCCTTCGGCCCAGCCCGTCACCGTGCCTGGGGTTGTGGATATGAAGCTTCTTGCGTGGTCGCTGTGATCTCTTGGGAGAGCTCGCGGGGGCTCCCTGGAGGCAGATTGGAGGCCTCTGGGGGCCGTTTTGGAGCCTCTTGTGGCCGCTGTTGGGCCTCTTGCGGGCATCTCGGGGCCTCTTTGGGAGCCCTTTTGCCTCTTTGGGGCCTCTTGGGTCCCATGCCTCTGGTGGCAGAAGGCTCGTAGTTTCAGTTAGTGCTCCGTCTCTTGGGCCCCGTCTGGGGCCGTCTTGGGACCCTCTTGGGCCGTTGCGGCTCTTGGGCCGTCTTGGGGCGCTCTCAGACCGTCCTGTGGCCTTCTTGGAGGCCGCTTGGGCCGTCTTGGAGTTGTCGTGGGGGCGCTTTGGGCCGTTTTGGAGCGTCGGAAAGCAGAACAGGCGAGAACGCCACAATTTTTGAAAAGCTTAGAACAACTAAATGATTTGCGTTTCCTGGGGACCTCGTGGGAGGCCTTTTGGGCCATCTTGACGACGTCTTGGGTGTCTTGTACCGCTCTTTCGGCGACTCGAAGCCCTCTTGGACACATGGGAGGGTTCGGGACACAGCGTCCAGAGGAGGCTCAGGAATCACCGCAGACCTCACGCGGGCCGGCTCTGGTCGGCCCAATAGCGCAGCGGCGCATGGGAAAGTGGGGGCCCGTGCTTTCAGGAGACTGAGGTTCTGGCTGCAGTAGCAGCACAGCTGTGAGCCTTGGGGCACTCCGCTTCGTGCCAAAGGCAAGGTGGTGGATGTGGTGCAATCTATGTGGTACAATGTACGTCGTGCTATCTATGATGTTGCCCCATGTGCGGTGCGATTTTGTGCAAGCTATGCGGTTTGATCTGCTCGGTGCAATCTGTTTTCTGGAATCTATGTGTTGCGATCAGTGTTCGGCAATATGTATATATATACACACAGATAGATCTCAACTATATGTATGTGCTGCAATCTATGTGGTGCAATTATGCGAGGCCGCGACAAGGCGGCGACGGCGACAACACAGTCGGCAGTCGGACAAGCAGGCCCAGTCAACGGACGGCGATGGCGGCCACATAGCCTCCAGACCAAAGACACGACCCAGACGACGGGCGGCGGCAAGGCGGCGACGGTGCTGCGGCGGCTGCCGCATAGCCGCCGGACAGAAGACACTGCCCAGATCCGCAGAACAGGAGTAACAAAACATGAGCACAAGCACTGTTTAGCAAATGAATGGGGCACGAAGTTCGGGTCGTGATCTCCAGGGGGAGAGTCGGACGAGAAAGACCAGCAGGAACATCAATGTCTTCCTTCCCCCTCTTCATCCCTCCCGCCTCCTCCACTTCCAGGGGGCAGAGGCCGGTGAGCATTTAAAAAGAAACGTCGGCATGAACATAGAATTGTGGGATGTCCGCGCGGACTCTTGGGTACCCCCTCCCCCTTTTGTGCTCTAACGGGACCTTCCTAGGGCCCAAAAGGGGCACGGACCGTGCATGTTTCTCCCCCCTTGACCAATCCCCCATCAAGCAACGCCCGACCCAGCCATGGGACCTTCTCCATCTGGTCGATCCGGTTCGATGCCGATTCCGACCAGCCCGATCCCGGTCCGATCCAAATGTCTCCATGAAGCAAGTTGGTCTTGAGGGAAGCGGGTCCAAATTGTTTTTCGCTGTGTCCCGGGTTTCTCCTCGATGCATCTGCGCCGTGAAGCGCTGGAAAATTCGCTACGCGAGTTGATTCGCTAACCGCCTTGCACTACTCCTACCATTAGTCCGGCCCGATTCTCACGGGCCTATTGGTGGTATACTCGGGACCTGGATGCCTCCTAGGAGGGGCTATTGGGGCCGTCTAGGGAACCTCTGAGGGGCGATTTGGATGGACGTGTAGGGGCCATATTCCCGAGGGCCCGCACGCGTTGTCCAATTTGGGGGCCCTCGTGGAGCCGTCTTGGGAGCATGCTGGGTCCTTCCCGCGGCTTGGAGGCTTACATGACCGCCAACACGACAGGGGTATGGGCTCAGGGGGGACGCATTGGCCCAACCGCCCATTCATCGCCGATAAGGGCCTGACAGCCCAACCCGCCCAGGAACTTGCGGAGTCGCTATCGGGGGCCCATCGCCGATCCATCGGTGATGTATCGCCGATTCCAGGTCGATGTTTCCCCCCTGATCTGGTCCCCGGTAACGTTCCCCCTCATGTTGCTATGATCTGTTGCTATGACGTTGAATGTGCGAGCTGACGCGACGATGTATTTCCATGCGCGTGTCACATCGATTGGGGCATGGCATGATGCGACGGTACAGAGATCGGACATTCGACATGACATGACAGTGTTCAAAGTGAAGCGCGTTGGAAGGGATGAACGTGAACTGGGCTGCTTGCCGCGCGGATAGGACGGTGCGAGTTCGTAATTGTGGGTCGATTATTGCAAAGTTGAAGCACGTGTGGTTGGCGATTCAGGCATCCATTAGTTTTGTATCCTACGCATTTCCGTTCTTCGCTCCTGCGCGTCCAGTTTTGTGCTCGCCTCGCGGACGGCTAAGTGGATTCGCGCACGTGGTCGTCCCAGAAGTAGTGCCGTGCTTATCAGACGATGGCCGTGAAATTACACATTGGTGTTGCTTCAAGTTTATCTTCTGGCACATGGCATGTGGCAGATGCTCCAACGATACTTGGAGCTTTCACATGCTGCCAAATGCATGTAAACTCGCTTCAGCCAGGCGCGCCGATCGCTTGGCATTTCTCCATCAATTCCATCTGCATGGATAGCCGTACAGAGACAGTGGAACAATGGAGCGTCAGGACTTCCACGGCTGCAAGCCCTTGCCATGAGGTCTCGTACTTGCGCATCCAGAAGACAGGAGTGGAAGGGGACGGGAGGCTAAGTGTGCAAGAGGGTGGAAAGACAAGGTGGGTATGAACCGGGAGGTGCAAAGGTGGACGAGGGCGGGTGCCAGGGATGTGCAGGTGAGTAGCCGCAGGCGTGTGTGTCCAGTCCTCTCACGAACGTGTTTGCCAGCATCGGTTTCGCCATGAGTAGATGCTACAGTCGGGGCGCTGAAGAAGGAACCCTTTTCGTTTAGGAGGGGGCTCCGTGTTCCTTAGTTTTTGTTACAGGGCTCCTTGGGTTTTCCGGAGGTTTTCCATGGAAAATCTGAGTTTAACGTATGGGGAAAAGGGACCTCGTTCGTTATTTAGGGTTCCTTGGGTCAACGCCCCAAGTGTACTGTCAGTCCCAGAACGTCCATTCGAGCAGCCAATGCAGTTCGCTCATGGTGGATCCGGTCCAGGCATGTTTTTCTGTGTGACATCTCGTGGGTTCCGGAAGTCAGTGTGCGCAGCTAGTTTGAAGTCGGGCTTGTAGCAGGGGATCAGCAGGGTTTAGGGTTGATTATATGAAAAGTGGTCACATTCCCCATAAGCTGCAGATGGAAGTGGATCCACATCTAAGACGATTGCACGCCAGGTGTTCCCATCCGCCATGGAAGTGTATTGGAGGTAGACCCGCCTCTTGGGATCAGATTCGGGGTGAACCCATATTGAATGCGATTGAATTGCCCGTGGCCCCGTCCATAGTAGGGTCCCAGTAGAGGCGGATCCACCCCTCATGGGACTCTATTTGAGCTGAGTCCGTCCTTGATCGGACGTTATTGCAGAATGCTTCATCCTTGATGAGATTCGGTTGCATGTATGCCCGCCTCTTACCGGATTGCATTAGCAATGGGTGCATCCCTGACGCGAGTAGATTTGAGGTTGCCCCGCATGGCTTGGCAGGCACCTCGTGGCTTAGCAGGTTTCGAAGCTGCTGGCAGAAATGAGCAAGGCTAGCAAGGGTGTTAGCGGTTCTGGCAGGTCTCAGCAAGGCATATCAGGGGTTAGCAGGACGTGGTCGGGCTTATCAGGGCTTCGCTGGGCTTGGCAGGTGGCTCGCGGAACTTATCTGGGCTTGGCAGGAGGCCACAATGCTTAGCAGTGCTTTGCAGGGTTTGGCTAGGTGCAGCAGGGCTCAGCAGGGGCCCGCAGCGGCTTAGTTCGGCATCGCGGTGGCGAGTCACAGGTGGCTCGAAGGTTCTTGGGTTCTAATAGAAGTGGCTCCATTCTCGCTAGGATTAAAATTGAGGTGTATCCTCCTCTGGTAGGATGATGTTCCAGTTTGTGTAATCCTTTTTCGGTTTCTATTGGAGGTGGGTCCACTGCCATTGAAATTATAGGTTGGGTGGACCCACTGCTAATGAACGGCCTCATATGTGTTTGTATACGTGGCCCCAAGTTTAACAGGATCCCTGCAGAGGTGGACCCACCGAGAACATGATTATAACGCATGTTAGTCCGCTGGTGAGCGTGAGCGTATCTTGTTTACGGCTTGTGGTTATTATTGCCAGGGTTCTGTTAGAGGTGGATCAACCTCCTAATAGGATGATGTTGGACATCTGTTTTTCCGTAGCCAGATACTATTAGAAGTGGCCTCATCCTTGGTATGATTCAAGTGCAGATCGCTCCAACCTTGCTGAGATCCTGTTAGAGGTGAGGCCGTTCTTGGTCGGGTTATATGACAAGTAGCCCCGTCGTTGATTGGATTTTATCCGAGGTGGCGTCATACGTAGTACGATTATATCAGAGGAAGGTCCGTATTTATGAGGACGTTGTGGGAGGTCGTTCAATCCCCATAACAAACAGAATAGAAGGTGCAACGCTACCAGTGGGATTATATAGTGGGTGGCCCCATCCATAACAGGATATAAGTTGATCTTGCCCCGTCCCCTGTAGGATTCAACCAATGGTGGATCCATCCTTCAAATGGGTTCATTCTTGATAGGGTTCTGTTCGAGGTGGCTCCACCTTCAAGAGGATTCTATGAAAGGTGAATTGAATCCACGTTACATATGATAATATGCGACGTGGGCCCACCCCGGCTATGATTAGATTAGAGGTGGGCCCACCCCTAAGAAATATGCCATTGGCACGGAACTCGAATTTCACAGGGTCTTAATGGAGTTGGCTCCGTCCCTGGTGGAGTTGTATCAGAGGTGGATCCACTTGTAATGTGGTTCCAGTAAAGATGGGCCAACCCCCAGTAGGGATTGTATTACAGGTGGCTCCATCCCGAACAGAACCCCAGTGGAGGTGCACCCACCTTTGATCGGATTTTCCTAGAAGTAAATCCATCTTATATGCGTTGTTAGTACCGATGGTTTTACCCTTAAGAGGAATCCGTTAGAGGTGGGCCCACCTTTCGTAGATGTTATTAGAGATGAGTCCATCCAGGGCGAGAGAGAGAGAGAGAGAAAAACACAAAAACATAAAGACGGAAACCAGAGAGAGAGAGAGAGAGAGAAACAAAAAAACAACACACCAGACACAAACACCCAACGCGTCCCACATTTCCCCTCCACGAGGAGGAGGAGGAGGACGAGGAGGAGGAGGAGGCAAGAGGAGGCAGGAGCACTGAGGAGGCAGGGACAGTGAGGAGGCAGGGGCAGTGAGGAGGAGGAGCAGGAGGAGGAGGAGGGCGAGGAACAAAAGAGGATGATGCAGGAGGAAGGAGGGAGGAGAATGGAGGAAGGAGGGAGGAGGGGGAGGGAGGAGGAGGAAGAGGAGGAGGCAGGAGGAGGCAGAGGCAGGAGGAGGCAGGGGGGGACAGCTGGAGTCAGGAGGGAGGGGGATGGGGAGGATGGGCGACGAGGAGGCAAGAGAAGACAGGAGGCGGCAGGAGGAGGCAGGAGGAGGAGGAAGGAGCAGAGAGGAGGAGCTTGGAGGAGAGAGAAGGAGCGAGGAGGCAGGAGGAGGGTGGAGGGGCGGGAGGCTCCACCACGTTCGGGGAGAGCATCATCCCCAAGATGACCGCGAAGCACCACCAGACCGGGCGAGGAGGGCCTCCGGGGCGGAGCGATGAGGCGTGGCGACGAACCCGACAGGCCGAGGGAGCAGGGACTCGGCTGCCTCGATGCGCCCGTTCCTTTTTTTTTTGTGAAAAATATATGATGTAAATATATTAACATCTATGGATATAGATATAAACGTCCCGTGTTCAAGACGTCCGTGTCAATGCGTTGCGTGTCGGCTTCACACATTGGGCCACGTGTTGGCGAACGTGCCGCGTCGGACCCGCGTGTTCGGCCTGCGTGTTGAGCTCCGCATCTGTACGATGCGTGTTGCGTGTTGCGCATCGGGGCAGAAAAAGAGCAGGGATGATCGGCCACACGTGAGAGTGAGCTTCGCCGGGCTGACCTCTGGTGCGGGCACGCGGGGGGCCCCCCCGATGGCTGGATGCGATGCGGTGGCAGCGGCTTGCGCGCCCAGGGTTGGCCTCCCCGCCGCCCCCCCCAGAGCCGCGCACCAAAGGGCACTCTTACCCAGGGTCACTCCTTGCGTGTAGCCGATGATCGGCGACACGTGAGAGTGAGCCTCGCTGGGCTGACCTTTGGTGCCGGGCACGCGGGGGTCCCCAGATGGCTGAATGCGATGCGGTAGCAGCGGCTTGCGCGCTCGGGTTTGGCCTCCCCGCGCCTTTCGAAAGCCGCGCACCGAAGGCCACTCTTGCCTGGGGCCACTTTTGCGTGTAGCCGAGATGAGGGGAGGTCCTCCTCGGCGTCCTCCTGGGCGGCGGGCGACGGGGGGAAGTGAGAAGGAGAAGGCCTTCTCAGATGGCGGCGGGGCTTCTCCGATTTTTTCCAGCTGTCTAAGAAGCCCTTCCTGTCTTCGGGGAAGGCTCAGAAATAGCTTCTCACAAGGGCCGTTGCTCACGATTGTTGTCTTGTTACTTGTTATGCCGATCGGCGCGGGCCCTCGCACCCCTCCCCCCCCCCATGGAGTAGGTCCTGGTTGTTGTTGGCACATGTTTCAAGCAGGTGGAGTCTCCCCCACAGGACGCACTGTTGCAAACATTCGCACTATGTAGAGTCTGAAGCCAGACCCCCCCCCTTCGCCCAACGTTGTGGAGGACGATCAATGGAGAAGAAGCATGCTGCCACATAGTTCCCAGGTGTCTAAAACATGTGTTAAACACGTTTTCAACATGTAAAAGACATGTTTACGTAAAACATGTTTAGAACTTTGTCCGACATTTGAAACACTTTTTAAATTCAATGGTAGGACTGTTAGGGTGCCCATTGTCGTGGCATCCACAAGCCCAACGTCGAAACGCCGAATAAGAAAACGTTCGCCAACTTTCCCAGCGTTCCCGGAAGGCCCACCCCTTCTCGCCCCCCCCCCCCCTCGGCCCGCCGCCGATGCCCCTCCTGCACACCCCTGGTTGCAGCTCCCCCTGTGGAGCTCCCTCGTGGACACCCGGCGTCCAGCCTCCTCCCCCCGCCTCCCCCTCCTCTTCTTCCCCCTCGTCTTCCTCTTCCTCCTCCACCCCCTCCTCCACCCCCTCCTCCACCTCCTCCTCGCCCCCTCTTCCTCGTCTTCCCCCTCCTCCACCCCCTCCTCGCCCCCTCCCTCTCCATCTCCTCCTCCTCCTCATCCTCCTCCTCGCTCCTCAACGACGAGCGCCCGCCCCCTCGAGGACGAGCAGCGCTCGCGTCCAGGACGTCCAGAGTCCTCATCCCAGGGTCCAGTTCGATTCGATCGATCCGCTTCGATATCGACTCCCGCTGGCTCGACCCGGCTTCAACCACGATCTTCCGACGATCCGATGCGGCCCCATGTTCGCATGGTGTTTGTGTGCGTGTTGTCGCAGGCGATTCGAATTCGCTTTCGTCCCGATAACAATCCGATCCGACGTTCGTACACTGCTGCATGTATGGGCAGCGTGGGCACTCTACTACGTGCTTAAGGCACGGTTGCGGATTTGAGCGGCAATTTGAAATCGCGTTGCCGTAGTGGCGCATGGCCATTGACGAGGCCGATGTCATTACGTAATGTGGAAGGAGGTCGTGACATGTGCTATAGGTCTATGACGGGTGTTTGACGCTCAGCATGTGTGTTACGTAATTATGATTGGCCTTGTTGGCACCCAGCCCCCACCCCACGTCGGGAGGTCGGTCCAGAAATTGGCGGCGGCATGCGAGCAGGTCACGGAGTAACGCTGCTCGCACCCTGCATTCATCAAACACATGTTGGTTGTTTTCGTAGGATTCTCTCCTCATCGCTTGCGGTTTCGTCTCACTCAGGGGAAAGGGCGAGGGGCGATCCTGGGGCAGGGTTGAATGTCCATTCCCCTGAACGAGTTGGACATGTTGGCACTGTCTTCTCGTGTGTTTGTTTGGGTGGTTGTCTTTGAGCAGGCTGTCAGCGCATGAGCGGCGGGCCTCCTTCAGCCCGGACGCGTGAGATTTCAAGATGTCAGCCAGCGTTGACCCCAAACATCGATTGAATCGCAATCTATGCGGTGCATTCTAGGTGATGCATCCAAGTTGGTACAATCTAGATGGTGCAATCTATGTGGTGCATCGCAACGCACAGCAATGCAACGCAATACACAGTAACGCAGCGCACTTCAAAATAATGCAATGTAGTGTAAAGCACAGCAAATCAATGAAACGCACAGCAGTTCAAAACAATGCAGGACAGTGCGAAGCAATGCAAAGCAATACAAAGCAACGCAAATCAATGCAAAGCAATGCGAATCAACGCAAAACAATACAAAGCAATGTAACGCAGTGCAAAGCAACGCAAAGCAATGCAGAACGAGACAAAGCAGTGCGCACACACACACACATGTCGAGCAATGCAAATCAACACACGACAGTACAAAGCGGTGCCCACCAATGCCAAGCAGCGCCAAGCAATGCCAAGCAGTGCAGAGCAACGCAACCGTTCGAGCCTCGCACAGTCAAAGGTCGTGACCAACAGTGGTGCGGCGACGGGCGGCGGCGACGGGCGGGCCGCTGGCCTGCCAGACCGGCGCGCAGTCCAATCCTGCGAGCCTCGCGCGATCTCAGTGGGGACCAAGATGGTGCGGCCGAGGGTCGGCGGCGGCGGGCGGCTATACACGGCGGCGTAAGCGGCAGCCAGCCCCCGTTCCCGAGGAAAACAGTGCTGAAGCCCCAAGTGCAAGGACTGTCTTCAGGAGAGGAACAAAACACACAGACACAATAAATCCTCGATTCCCGTGAACATATGGGGAAATATGGGAAGTGGGGGGGGATACAAAAACCCAGAAAATATAGGAAAATATGGGAAATATGTTTATTTGTGTGTATTTATTTGTGTGTTCTGGGGCCTCTTCATGTTTGGGGGGGAGAAGTGCTCGCGATCCGCCGCGCACGCCCTCCCAGCATGCCGCGGCTGCCAGGCCCAGGGTGTGCTGGTGCTCTCTGGATGTCCCGCCTCGCGTCTTCGACGAATGGCGACTGCATAGCGCGGCCGCCAGGCCCAAAGTGTGCAGGTGCCTCGCGTTCTCTGGTCGAGATCGTTTCAAGCAGAGTGATGCTGTTTGTTTCCTTTTAGTGGACAGCCCTCGCATGGTCGGCGGGCCCTCTCCAGCCTGGACTGCGAGCAGGATGCATATCCGTATCCATGGCATCTTGGAGTTTCCGGGCCCCCCTGCCCAGACACCCGAGGCGCAGTGGCTCGGGATAAGAATAACTATGGCTCTTAGAAGCTCGGCTTTTACCCATATCCACTGCGCCTGGGCCTTCCGGCGACCCAACCCCCCCAGAGAGTCCAACACGTGCTGGATACGAATATCTGATGCGGTGCCCGCAGCCGGCCTTCTCCGGCCTGGACGGGCCAGGCCGCTTCCACATGGAGTACCGCGGGGCGACCGCCCAGCCGCGCGCCTGCGCGGTGACGGTGCTGAGGGATCCGGTGGAGAGGCCGCTTCCGCGCCGCCCATTGCGGGCCTTTGCCAAAGGTGTCACGGGTCCAGGCTTCCCAGATGGGGTCAGAGCAGATGGGGGCCTCCCAGATGGGCTCTGGGGGCCCCCAGACTGGGTCAGAGGAGATAGGGTCTGGGCCTCCCAGACGAGCTCTGGGGGCCCTTACCGGGCCTCGGTGCCGTCAATGAAGCACTCAGGATGTAAAGCCGGTCCCAGGGAATGGGTCTGGACATTGTGAACAAAAAACATGACGTCGGGGGTCAGGGTTCCAGGCCATCCCTGATAGGGTCCGAGTAGGTGGAGTCGGAGGATCTCGCAGCGTCGCAAATGCATCGGCGATGCGGCTCGATGTGGAGCCTGACTTTATCCACGCCGACGTCTTCGATGCATTGCCGATGCATCGGCGATGCAGCGACGACGCGGCGCGATCCTCCAACCCCATCTATTCCGACCCCATCTGGGGGGCCTCACCTGGCCCGCCCTGAGATCCTGGTGTCGGATTCTTCTTGCGACCTGCGATCCCGCCTTGCTTCGGGCCCCGGGGCCCTCACAGCTCCATCGGGATCTGCACATGCCTGGATGCCTCGCCACGTCGGATCTCGGGGAAGGTGTCCCAGGTCCACGGTGCTGGGCCGCCCAGGTGAGGCCCGCGCGGGCGAGGATCGGAGGATCGCGCCGCATCGCCGAGGCATCGACGACGCGGCGCGACCCGGAGCCCGATTTTCTCCACCCCGGCGTCGCCGAGGCATCGGCGACGCGGCGCGATCTTCCGAGGCCCCCCAGCTGCTCCGGCCCCACTCGTGCGACCTCCAAGGGTGGCTCCCCAGCTCGGCGCTGCATACAGTCGAGGCGTTGACCCAAGGAACCCTAAATAAGGAACGGGGCCCCTTTGTGCCATAGGTTCTGCCTCGATTTCCCATGGAAGACCTAAGGAAAGCCCGAGGCAAACTTTGGAACAATCGAGGAACACCGAGCCCCTCCCCAACGAAACGGGCTCCTTCTTCAGCGCCCCGACTGCAGCTGGAGCCCCAGGAGGCCGGGCCTCTCGGCCCCGCGGGGGAGGGGTGTGCTCTGGAGGCCGCGGGTGCCTCCTCGGGCGGTCCTGGGGGTTCCGCTGGCAGCCTCGGGCGGCGTCGCAGGAGGCGGGCGTGCCGCAGAGGGGACGATGCTTTGTGGGCCCCGGAAACGGCAGGGCCGTATTTTTACCGTTTCCAAAAAGATGTCCCTTGAAAATGGAAACGGCAAAGAAACGGCGACCAGAAACGGCAAAAAAACGGCTCCAGGATTGGAACCGGAGCCGGAACCGGTGAAAAAACGGCGACGGAACCGGTGAAAAAACAGCGTCGGAACCGGCAACAAAAACGGCAAAACGGAACTGGTAAAAAAACGGCCTTGTCGTTTCCAGGGCCCAGGGGGAAGTGGCGGGAATAACCGAGCACCCCGGATGATAGAGCATGTTCCACCCCTTGACCCCTTAACCCTTGAGAGCTGACTCTTTGGACCCAAAACAGAGTTGGTCGCGGCGAGGCCGAATGTCATTATTGCCAGGAATGTGCGGATCGGAGCTGCTATCTTCTTATGTTGAGTAGCAACACTATCACGAACGTGTGGCAAGGATTTGGGATTCTCACCATTGCAGCTCTCCTAACTCACGAACGTGTGGCAGGGCCATGAGTTTCTCACTACTTCAGCTTTCCAAGCTCACGAACGTGTGGCAGGGCCATGGGAATAGCGAGCAGGACATGGCTGTACAATACTACTTCTCAGGTTTCGTGCTCCTCCGAGCCCTCCTAGCAGACCCCGCCATAGCGAGCAGGGCATCGCTATACATTACCAACATATCATGGTGCACACGAGTTGTTGGGAAAAAGGGGATCCCCCTCAACCCGCATTTTTTAGGATTGTCAGGGACATTGGGTTATCGAGAGTTGTACAAAACGGGGCGGGCCTCAAAGCGGCTCTGAAGGGGTGGGGGGGGGGCCGAAGGTGCGCGAAGGGTGTGCCCTTCTGCCCCGCCCCCCGTCTGTAGACCCAGTACAGTGAACACGCATCATGAGAACGGTCGGCGTCCCAGGGGTACCCTTTGCATCCTTGCCTCTTCGGTCGTCTTCGGTCCATCCTCAACCACTTTCGATGGCCAGCTCTGCTCGAAGAGCCTCGGCAAGGGCGTCCAAGGCCCTTCCGTCTTCACCGCGCCTCCTTACTACATGGGCTGACTGCATTTAGCAACGCTCGAACGGGGGAGCATGGGTTACGATGGCAGGGGAGCTGCAGCGGGTGCCTGGCAGCGAGAAGGGCAGCGAGAGGGAGGAGGATTTGCAGAAGCGGGCCGTGGAGGAAGAACAGGGGCGGGGAGGAAGAGGAGCAGCAGGAAGAGGAGGGGGGGCATGAGCAATCGGGAGGATGTGAAGGGAAGGGGGAGAAGGAGGTGGAGCCCGGGAAGAATTCGCGCGACGCTGGCTTCAGGCATCCGCGCCCCTTGTGCCCTAGGCATGGCGCCGGGGTCGAGGCGCGCAGAGCTCGTGAGCAGCTCCTGCTGCGGCCAGGCCCCAGCCTGCGAGGGGTGGCGGTGGGCGCTGACGAGACGCGACTGGCAGGAAGAGGTGCGGATCGGAAGGGGCGCCTCTGTGCACCCAATGGCGGTTTCGACCTGCGGTCTACCCCGGGGGGGATTGGGCTCGTGGGCCCGGTCCCCCCTCGCACGCGTAGCGCCTGAGAGACGGTCAGGGTGAGGGGGCCGAACGCTCATTCTTTGTTCCCGGGTGCGTGGCTGAAGTGGGGATCCGCGGGGAGGATTCTGCTTGTTGACCTTTCACTTCTGAAGAAGAATTAGTGTTGATCCCCCCCACCGGTGCATACTGTTTTTGTCACCATCAAAGTGTGCCCCTCGACGCTCGCACCTGGTTTTTTTCAGAGAAAGTCTTGAGGCTCAAACTGAGCCCCTGGCCCCCGGGTTACAACAACAACGGCTCCCGCCTGAGACTTCCTCACAATTTAGCCAGAATCCCCGCTTCCGCCCGAGACCTCCTCGCATTTTATTCATGAATCGCGCTCTCGCTTTGGACTTCGTTACAATTTCTTCAGGAATCGCTCTCCCAGCGCTCTGGAGTCGCGCTCTCGCTGGAGACTTGCTTGCAATTTACTGAAGAGTAGCGTCCTTGCATTGGCATTTCCTGCAATTTGCACAAGCGCCGCGCTCCTGACACCAAGGCACCCAGGAGTCGCGCCCGTTGTGGCCCCATGTGCGTGCCCTTCGTGGCTCCGCTGTCGCCGTTTGTGGCCCCCTCACTGCCCTACGTGGCCCAGTTGCTACCCTCAGTGGCCCCATCGTTGCCTTCTGTGGCCCCGCATTATCTGCCCTTCGTGGCCCCCGCTCGTTCGCGCTCTTCGTGGCCACATACGCATTCCCTTCGTGTCCCCGCTGTCGCCCTTCGTGGTCTACTTCGTGTCCTGTGCGGCCCTGCTGCCGTTCTCTCTCGCTCTCGCTTTCGCTCGTCGTTGCCGTCGTCGTCGTCGTCGCCGTCGTCGTCGACGTCGTCGTCGTCGTGGTCGGTTCCCTGTCCGTCCCTCTTGGGGTCAGGTCGACGGTCCGCGGCCGCCCCGCCGATCAGCGCTGCCGCTGGCCAGGCCGACGGTCCGCGGCCACCCCGCCGCTTGCCGGGGCCCAGCCTGCAAGGAAGAAAGGTATACCCCCCAAAAGGGGTTCGATCGAAGACGAACAGGGCGGGTATCGATGGTTTGGGGAGTACGCGTTATTGGACACTCGTGCAGATAAGGGCGAACAGTCCTAAAATGATTGTTGTTGTTGACGTTGTTGGTGTTGGTATTGGTGTTGTCGTCGTCGTCGTCGTCGTCGTCGTCGTCGTCGTCGTCGTCGTCGTCGTCGTCGTCGTCGTCGTCGTCCATCCCCCGACCCGCCCGCGACCCACCCCGCGACCCACCAGCGACTTACCCCGCGACCCACCCCGTGACCCGCCCGTGACCCACCCGCGACCCACCCCGTGACCCACCCCGCGACCCACCCGCGACCCACCGTGCGACCCACCCCGCGACCCACCCCGCGACCCACCCGCGATCCATCCCGCTACCCACCCCGCGACCCACCCCGCGACCCGCCCCGCGACGCGACCCACCCCGCGACCCACCCCGTGACCCGCCGACCCACCCGCGACCCACCCTCCGCGACCGCGACCCCGCGACCCACCCCGCGACCCATCCCGCGACCCACATGCGACCCACCCCGCGACCCACCCCGCGACCCACCCCGCGAACCATCCCGCGACCCACCCGCGACCCACCCACGACCCATCCGCGACCCGGCCCGCGGCCCACCCGCGAACCACCCGCGACCCATCCCGCGATCCACCCACATTGTTTAAACGAAGAAATCGGCGCCTGCGGCGGGCTCACTGCATAATTTGTAAAAGTGAGGCGTCTGCGCGGGCTTTTTCAGAGCCTCGCGGACTGACGACGTCCTCGCCGCCCCCTCACTCTTTTCCGCAACTGCGGGGTGCTACGTATTGTATGGACTCTCCTCCTCCTCCTGCTCCTCCTCCTCCTCCTGCTCCTCCTCCTCCTCCTCCTCCTCCTCCCCCTCCTCTTGCCTCTCCTCGTCGTCCTCCTTCGCTCTTCTGGCGCCCCTCCTCGTCCTGCTCCCCATCTCCCCCTCGCCTCTCCTCGGCCTCCCCTCCTCGTGCCTCTCCTCTCTGCCTCCCCCCGACCCTCCTCGCGGGCACCGGTCGCGCCCACCTCCCGCAGGGAACCTGCCTGCGCCCAGACCCCCCCCTCGCCCTCGGCGCCACAGCCGGTCGGCGACAGTGCAGCAGTCGGGGGTGGACAGACCCCCTACCCCGACACGTCGGCTGTCGAGCTGGCCGCTTTCGGTCCGCGAGAGGGCGTCGCGGCCGTCATTCTTGCGGATCCAGGGCCGCCGGTTTCGGTCCCGGGCCGTTTTCGGTAAGGGGAGGTTTACCAAAGGGACGTTTGTCCATCGCCGAAGCAGGCGGTATCAGGCAGGGCCTCAGCGGGCCCTGGAAACGACAGGGCCGTTTTTACACCGGTCCGTTTTGCCGCTTTTTTGTGCCGGTTCTGGCGCCAGTTTTCCTGGTTCAGTCGCCGTTTTTGTGGGCTCCAGCTACAGTCCCCGAGCCGATTTTGCCGTTTCCGGTTGATTGTTGTTGCCGCTTCCATGTTCAGGAGATTTTTTTCGGAAGCAGTGAAAAAACGGTCCTGCCGTTTCCAGGACCCACGGTCGGACAGATGTATAGGATCGAGGTCGGTTCGGGGAGGGTACCCTAGTGTTTTTTCGCATCTTTTGGCTATTATTGCGCATCCTGGGGAAGGGTGCCCTCGAATGTTCTCCCGTCTGGCTGTCGGAGGGCCTCATGCTCTCGGGGGGTTGTCTTCTGTCTCAGGTCTGGCCGCATCCGATACGAGACCAGTTTCGCCCAGCTCCATCCGATTCGATTTCAATGTTTGGGCGAGCCGATGCGACCCGATGTCTGTACGGTGTTGTTGCGCATACTGGCGCAGCCGAGCCGATTCGGTTTCGACTCCGAGCGGATGCAGCTCGACCCAACGCACGTTCCGGTCCGATCCGACCCGATCGGATTTCCCGAGTCGATGTTGATATCTCCTGGCAGGGGTGAGCGACGACCTGAGAAAGGCGACCTCGACGCGAACCAAGAGGAGCTGAGTTCCAGCCATGCCCGCCGAAGTCCAACCCTCTGAGGTCCGCGCGATTCTGCTGAACACGGAATCGGCCTCTGTAGCCATTCCAGCGCCTTGAGCATCACGGATTGGTGGTGTTGTTTTTAGAGGCGAGGCGAGCAGAAGGAGGGGAGAGGATGAGAGAGGGGGGTGCGGGATGGGAAGAAGCGAAGAGCGGAGGGCGAGGGAGGGGAAGCTAGGAGAGGGGGGTAGAAGATCAGCAGGAGCTGGAGGGGGGCAGGAGGGAAGGGGAGGGCGGGAGAGGAGCAGCAGGATCGAGGAGCAGGAGGAGGGAGGAACGGGAGGAGGGGGAGCAGCAGGATGATGATTGTTCTGCTCCTCGTCCTCGGCGCAGCCCCCCCCGCCGTGGCCAGGTTCATGTCCGAGTTCGCGTTTGCGCGCGGCCACGAGGGCTTCTTAATGACGCAGGACCAGTGGGATTTCGCCGACGAGGACCTGCCATGGCTCAAGCAGGCGCGCCGCCCACGGAGGACGATGGAAGGAAGGGAGGAGAACGAGGTAAGGAGGAAGGGAGGAGGTGGGAGAGGGGGGTCGGAGGGGAGGGGAGAGGCATGACCATGGGAGGGTGGGTAGAGGGAAGACGAGCGGAGGGATGGAGGGGGGGGGCAAGGGGGTAGGGATGACGACGATGCCGATGATGCTGCTGCTGCCTCTGATGGTGATGATGCTGGTGATAATGCTGATGCTGTTGCTGATGACGATGATGATGATTATGATGATGGGTGTGATGCTGATTGTGATGATGGTGGTGATGCTGATGCTGATGATGATTATTATGATGATTATGCTGATGATGCTGCTGATTGCTATGAGGCTGATGAGGGTGATGATGATGCTGATGGAGATGATGATGGTGATGATGATGCTGCTGACGATGACGAAGATGATGACGATGATGATGATGCTGATGCTGATGCTGATGCTGATGATGATGATGATGATGGTGCTGCTGCTGTTGCTGCTGCTGCTGCTGATGATGATGATGATGATGATGATGATGATGATGATGATGATGATGATGATGATGATGATGCTGATGATGATGATGATGCTGATGATGATGATGATGATGATGATGATGATGATGATGCTGATGATGATGATGATGATGATGATTGTGCTCTTTGGCTTACCATCTAGCACGGGAATCTGGCGGGGAATGTGTGAGGGAGATCGACGGCTTCTTCCGTAGCTGTCTGGGCTCAAGAGCCCAAAACGGCTGTGGCGGCTGGCCAAGCCGCCCAGTGGTGAGGGGCCTGCGGCGCCCGCGGGGGGCGCGCCGCCACGCTAGACCCGGGATTCCGGAGTTCAGCCCGCCAGGGAGTAGGTCGCCTACGGGCAAGGGGCAGCGGAGGCGCCCATCCGCCCGCAAGGCGGCGCCTTCCCGCCAGCGTGGCGGGGATGATCAAGAAGGGCCGTCCTGCGTCTGGAGCGGCCTGCAGCGGCCAGTGGCGAGGGCGCCGGGGCGAAACCCAAGAGGAAGCGGCGCAGCCGCGGCAAGAGCAATCCTGAAGGTGACATTCCCGCGCTCGTCGATGTCGAGGAGCCGCCGCCCCGCCCCAAGCCTTTCGGCAAGGCTGCGGCACAGGCCAAGGCGAGAGCTGATCCCAAGGTGCGGTGCCCCGAGCCATGGAAGGCGAGTGACCAGGATGACTGGTACACTCCTCCCGCGGCCGTGCGGGGCAGCTCGGTGCTCGAGTTCAGGGGTGAGTGCTGCAGGGCCACCGGGCACTTCACCATGGCCGCCAGGGGCGGGTCGTTCACCGTCAATGGCATGGACGGCTGTTTCTTGGAGGGCGAGTTCATGGACGTGGTGAAGGGGCCGGGCGCCCCCATGCTGTCATCGCTGCTTCGTGGCCCTGGTGGTGACGGACTCGTGCACTTCTGCGAGGGCGCTGCAGGCGACTGCTTGGTCGCGACTCCAGACAAGGGCGGTTAGCTGATCCACGTGGACTTGTATCTGTTGCGCCCCGACCTCGACGCTCCTCGTCCATCACCACAGCCCCCCATCGAGGGCCCCTCGACTCCGGCTGCTAGCGAGAGTGGCGATGCCCCGAAGGGCGACCCCGCGGGAGGGGCCGCTTTGTTCGGCGTGGACGACGACACCCTTGGCGCCCCCAAGGATGGCAGCGCAGCAGCATCGCGCAGGCCAGACCTGGAGCGGCGCCTCGCGGAGTTGCGGGCAAAGCCCAAGCCTGACGGCCGGGCGAGTCGGAAGGGGCCCCGCGGCGCTGCCGTGACGATGGGCGCCCGCGAGGTCCTGGCAGAGCGAGCGGCGCAGCATAGACGTTCGTGGCCGAGCCGCTTGAGGAGGACCGACGGCCGAGGCCAGGGCTGAGGCTGACGACCGCCGCTGGCGGGGAGCGCGACAGCGAGGAGAAAGATAGCGAGGGGTCGGGTTTTCGCCTGGCTCTCCCCTGGGGCGGACGAAGGCCCATTGTCCTTCGCGCACAGGCATTCGGGGCAGCTTCTGCAGTTGGCGATCGAGGAGATCGGACGCTATCTGAGCACCCGAGAGGGGCCGCGGCGGCGGCGCTCCCGCGGGGGGCCTGATTCGCGACGCATCTCCCGACAGTGATTCACGCAGCCCATTCTCCCGAGCAGTTAGGGGACCTGGGGCAGGAAACGAGGGCTCTCGCTGGGGTGCTCGATGCCGCGCTCTTCGGCGACCTCCCGCGGGTCGCCGACCTGCGCGCGCAGCGGTGCAAGAGCTGCAGGGTCAACGCCAAGGGAGGGGCCAGGCGCTGGCGGCGCAGCGCGAGCTGGCGCCCGAGCGCTCGATCGGTTTCGCAGCCCCGCCAGAGGAGATGCCCCTCGGGCGGCTGGAGCTCCAGGGGGCCCATCTCGCGGAGGTTGAGGAGAGGGCGGAGGAGAGCGAGGAGGCCCATTAGGGAGTCGGGGGCCTCGGGCGGGAAGCCGCCCAGCCCGAGGTGGCCCGTCAGACGGGCGCGGCGACGATGGCTTCGGGGGGCAGTCCGCCAGCCCGAGTGGATTCCGCGCCAGCGGGGGCCGCGGCCCCTCGGGCTCCGCCGACGACGGTAGCGCCTCCGCAAATGAGCGCGCGGGTTAGGGCATGGAAGAAGAGGCGCCAGGGGCTAGGATGGGCACCGACGACGGAAGCCAGCGAAGCCCATGGCGCAGGAGTCGCACCATGCGGCCCGACGGGGAAGGACAAGGTCGGGCACAGACCGGCGGCGTCACCTTCTGCGCCTCCCCCGCCACCTCAGGCCCGGCCCAGGGCGGTGCTGATCGCGCCGAGGAGCCGGACTCAGGCCGCGGCAGGCGCGGCTTCGGGCGCCAGGTCGGGCACGCCGAAAGCCAGCGCGCAGCGGCAGCAGCGCCCGTGGCGCCAGGCCTCGGGGAGCGGCGGCCACGCGCGGCAGAAGGGCTTCCGGGAGACCTGAGGCAGGCGATGCGCGCGCCAGCCCCCGTCGTCATGGAGGTTGAGTTCGAGGCTAGCAGGAGTGCGCAGGGCGAGACCCCGAGGACCCTCCACGACTTGGATGTGAACATCGCCAAGATGTGCCTCGAGGTGCAACAGCTGTTGCTTCGCGCGGATGGGCAGGCGGGCTAGGCAGGCGCTCAACGCAGCGCGCCACGCGGTCGAGAATGCTTCGAGGAGGCGAGGCGCCCTGCCACTGCCCTTGCCCAGCGAGGGCGAGCACGTCGAGGCCTTGTTCCAGCGCCTGAACGACCCGAAGTGCTCGATGTGTTATCGTGGCGAAGATAGAGGCACCTTCCGCTGGAAGGCGGGGGCCGGGTCCTGGACGCGCATGCAGTCGTTGCCCGCGAACTACCCGCGGATGCCGTGGCTACGTCGCCGAGAGGTGCCTGTCAGACGCCCCGTGGCGCACTGCGGCCAATCAGAAGGCGGCGCAGCGCGCGGGGGGGGGGCCGCCGCGCACCTTTGCTTTCGCAAGGGGAGCGAGGCTGAGATGCAGCGCATCCCGTGGAGCGAGGTTGCCAAGTCCTCCGTGCTCGTGCACGGCGAAGGGCTCGCGACCATGCCCGAGAAATTGACGCGGGCTCAGATCGAACCAGGGTTTTCTCCCTCGGAGCGCTGCGGCAACCTGGGGGCAGTCAATTTTGCGGCGACTCCGTGCGCCGCGCCCTCGAGCGCGAAGAGCATGTCATTCTGCCGCTCGAGGAGTGGCCGACGGTGGATCCGGCCACGGTGCATTGCGATGATGACGAGTGGGGCTGCGTTGCTGGGCAGCTGCTGGACCGCGGGATCCTCGCGGAATTTGAAAAGGCCCGCGCCCCGTGATTTACGGGAAGCGGCTGGGCAACGGAGCTTTTGGCGTGGCCGAGCGGGGGGGCGCCAGAGGGGCTCCTCCATGAGCGCCTTCTGATCGCCAACATCACGCTGACAACTGCGGGACAGATCCTCGTCATGGGGGACATTGACAAGCTTCCCCTGCCTGGTGAGTATTTAGGCCGTGCTGATGGACGACGCGGCGACCCTCTTCTCGGGGGGGCGCATCCTGGGGCGTTTTTCCACTTGCAGGTTCGCCTCAGTGGTGACGCTGGCTTGCGTTCCGAAGCCGCGGCGGTAGTGGGGGCCTTGCGAAGTACGAGTCGCCCCGATGGGGCGGTTGTCGGCGGTCGGAGTGGCGCAGCGCATGCGCAGGCAGATCGCCGCTGCTGGCCCGCGGGCCAGTGCGTGGCTGGCTGCGAGCCAGGAGCTGCGACGAGACCAGCCATTCCCCGTCCGCGAGGGCCCAGCTCAGGGGCTGTGCTGGAGCACGTGCGCCAGGGTCTCTGAGTGGGAGAACCAGGGGGGGCGCTCTCTGAGCGCCGGGCCGCGCTGCGGCTAGCTCACGAGGTAACGTCGGTGCCTACCTCGCTCGAGAAGGGGGTCGTCCGCTCCTCGCGCGCCCATCGCAAAGGCGTGGGCCTGGATGGCCTCGCGCGTCGCGCCGCGCCGCCCGTCGAGAGGATCTCGGAGCACGGGGCGCTCGCGGCGCGGGCGCTGGATCAGCGGAAATCCAGCCTCGTCGAGATGCAGGCCTTGCGCGGGCCGTCGGACGTCGAACTGCGCGCTGAGGCGCCCAGCGTTGAGCTGCCTCGACGAGGCGTGGCGATGGATGGAGAGAACGCCCTTCCCCTCGAGTCGCGCGGCGCTCGGTGACCGAGTGAAGGATGCGCTCATCATGTGCATGGGGAGCTTCTCGCTGCTGGTCGCCGATGTGCGCTGAACACTTGGCTGCCCGCCCGATCGCGACCGTTGCCTCGGAGCACGGCGGCGGAGTCTCGGCGGGGGTCAGCTTCGCAGCCGAGGGCGCGGCGGCGGCGCAGCGGCACGCCTCGGCCCCTGTCGGTCTGCATAAGCGGGGGGTCGCGGTCGGGGAGTTCTTAGGCGGGATCGGGGGGCGTTGACCGGCCCGGGGTGCATCTGATTTGCGCTGGCTGCGCTGAGACCGACAAGACGGCCCATGGCGTCTGCCGCGGGA